GTGTTTGACTTGTGCTTGGGGCTTGTAGAAATGTCTTATCTTTACCTCGAGTAGCAGTGGTGAACGCAGGAGTTGCTGCTTTGGAGGTGGATGGAAGTCGGATCCACAGTGACTGGTGCTAACTGCTAGCTGCATTGATAGCACTCTGCTGTACGTTCAGATGGCTCTCTGCTATAAGCTGTCTCTGTGTGTGTGAAGGCAGCCTGTCCGGGCCTGTCAGGACTCAGCTCTGCAGCCTGAGCGCCTCATTGATCATCCACTGATGGGAGGAGTGTTGCTCCTTAATGACCAATGGTGAGAGTCGTGAGAGTGGAAGCAGCAGCAGCAGCAGCAGCAGCAGCGTCTGCAGCACTTTGTGCAGCAACATGTGGGTGTTGTGACAGGAACAGAGAGCGAGCCAAGAAACACTCCACACTGATAACTGTTCACAGACAGCCCTGGTTTCAGGGAAAAAGGGGTTTTGCTAATGTTTTCATATACTTTCATATAATTTAACCAACAGGTATTTTTCTCAAATGAACTAAATGTGTGATGTGGTAACTTCACGCTTTAATTATATATAAATAGCTAAACATGAGAGAGAAAAGCATCTAATTACACCAAACCTTTCAATGATTTATGGATCTTTAATACATCCATTTGGATCTTACTCAGCTGCTGCTTTGTTTCAATTTTTTTGCTCCCAAAAGTCTAAAACTCAACTCAAACAAAATCATTTTTTGACCTTAAACCAAACAACTTGTGATTTTGTGGGTTTTTTTACGTCCATGTTTTTGGTGAACAGTCACAACAACGTCACACAAAATATATAAACTATCGTGTCACACACTCCGGGAACGCACCAGGGCTTAACAGGATGGGGAGATATGATGATTTTGTGGCTTGTTCTGCCTTTCTAGTTTATTAACAACACTCACTGTGATTGACTTGTGCAGCAACACAAACTCTGTAAAGTGTTTCCCGATGAAGCAGCCCTGTTTGATCGTATTAAGTGTGTATTTTCTCCTCGGGGCACGGATTCTAAGCACTAATACACCGTTTGGTTAATGAGTCATCTCACTGACTAAAATGCGTGCATATATATTTATATATATCTACTCCCACAGAATGTCAGCACGGCTCGATCTACCCTCAGGGAGTGTGGAGAGCTGATGTTAGTACAAATGATGTAAAACCCGGCTATTACTGCTTTATTGTTCAGCGAGGATCCAAGGTACGGTACTTTATGCACAAAATATTTGGCAGCATCCTCCGAGTAGAGACATAAAAATAAAGATTTTTTTCAAAGCAGAGGTTAGATTAAGAGCTTAAATCAAGTTGTGTACACATATCAGTGCGGTTCGTGTTCCAAACGCTGATCCTGGACGCGGTGCAACCACTTATATGGTTTTCCAAACTGAAAATCTGCTGGCATCTCTGTGGAAAGTCAATAGAAAAGATACACACACACATTAACACACACGCAGAGTGATGACTGCTGGGTGCTTGATCAGACAGCAGCTGCAGTTAACTGCTCGCTGTAAAATAAACAAATCAGCAAGCCAACAGATGGTGCAAATAATACAGTATGTGACGCAAGTGTGTGTGTGTGTGTGAGTGTGAGAGAGTGTGTGTGAGAGTGTGTAAAGGTGAATTGCTCGTGGGCATCCTGTTCTACTGTCAGTCACCACCGTTCCTGTTGTTGTCGTGATGCTACTGCAGAAATAGCACTGGAAGCAGAAACAATAGTTCACGGCAGCAGATTAATAATACAGTGTGTACTATTAGCAGTGATGGAATGTAACCGCAGTGACTCCGGTACTCTACTTCAGGACAGGTCTGAGGTACAAATACTTGACTTGGATGCTTCCATTTTAGCGTTCGAGTTGCTTTAGATTACGATTTAACAGGCTAACCTTTTAACCATCTCATGAAACAAAGATATTATAAACTGTTAAGCAGAATGTAGTTAAAAAAGACTCCACTAATAACACTTCAGTATGTAACAATACAACTGTGACAGGGCTGTATAATGACGATATTTACTTCTGATGTTTGGCTGATAATATATTGAAAGTTTTACCGAAGTAAAATTAGTCATACACGACTTTTGCTTCACAGGAGTATTTCTTAAGTGAGGTGCTTTAACTTCAGTAAAGACCACTGAATATATGATAATGGTGGAACTCAAGCTGAACAGCAGCAGTAGTAGAAGTAGGTGTAGTTGTGGGGAAAAAAATAGATGAGGATTTCCAAAAGGTCCAAAAGTTTAAATATTTTTAAATTTCCGATGGAAGTTGCATTGGACAAAATAACAGAAACACCATTACACCTTGTAAAGCTGCCTGGAAATGAGAAATTTAGCTTTTTCTGGAAGTATTTGAAGTGCCTTTGGTGGATTTATAATATTTATATAATTCCTTGGATTTTATTATTCAAACTTGTTAACCACCCAGATGCCTACAGTGTGTTTTCCAAATTAAAAAAAGGTCCAAATACATATTATTATTATTATTATTATTATTATTATTATTGTGGTGGTGCTTGTTGTTGTTGCTGTGTGCTCAGTGACCCGGCAGGTATACCTGGTGTGTACCTGCCAGACGCCTCTCTGTCTCGTCTCTATTTGCCTCCATCAGTCTGTGTCCTGCGGCCCGGCGGCACTTCAGGGCGCAGAGCTTATCAGCTTTCTGTGTTTACCTCCCAATTAATCCCCATTAGTACGGAGAAGGCATTAGAACGCTTTAGCTTTTGTTTTGTCCCAAACAGCAGATGAGCTGGTTAACAGGTCGGACGGACAGATCTCAATCTGAGCGCACAGACCGACAGTCTGGCAGGAAAAGGAGCCGCAGAGACGCACCGATCACTGCCGATAACAGACGGATATTAGTTCTGCCTGGTCCCAATAAATCAGCTTTTACTTAAGGCCACTTTCACAGATTGAATTGAAAGGAACAAAAATGTCTAACATTGGAAAGTACCTTGTTTTTTTTTTTGTTGTTGTTGTTGTTTTAAAATATCACATTATTTTACTTCCATTTTTTTTTTTAACGAACGCGTTCTTGATCTGTTCCACTTTTATCCAGAAAACCCGCGCGATTGACTACAAACGAGGTGTTTCAGTGGGAGATGTCCTGGTAAATGTGGCTCCTGCTGTTTGCTCTCAGTCTTACTGCTGTCTCACATTAGGACACGAGTGTGTGTGGGTGTAATTATACCAGAATGGGTTTGGGAAACAACTGTTCTCAGGCCGGAGGAACAATTACGCGCAGAGAAAAACAGCAATTGATGCTTTCCCTCTCTAATTTTCACAGTACTCCCATGATAATTTATCTTCTTGAGATTTATTTTAGCAAATAGGTGGACAGTTATTTGTCCCATATAGGCGGTCAAACATAGCTTTGATTTAGTTGTAGTCTGAAATTGACCGGCGCGTCTTTTTTTTTTTTTTTAAGTATCCATTTGTGCGTAATTGTTAAGTACCTGTAAATTAAAAGGAACTGCTCTCCCCAAATATCTGCCATTATTTAACTAAACTAGTAATCTTCATGTCTGTTAATTTTTTCTTTGTATGTTTTTTTGCTTGTTTGTTTTTAAGTTAATTAGTTTTTGCATCTCAAATCCCAGAAAATAGAGAAAAACAATTATCTCCGTCTCAGGACTCACGTTGGTAGCTTCACGTTTTGTATTTAATTTCGATGGTGAAGTCATTTATGAAAATTACACTTAAAGTGAGCATTTTAAAGTGGTGTGTCGTTGGATTAATTCCTCAAAATCATTCTTTTTCTATTTTATTTTTCAATGAATGAAGCACTTTTATTACTTTTAAACTGTTAAAGTTACATTTCATTTGGTTTGGGATCCTTCAGCTCATTGAATCGACAGCTTGAAACGTTCATGATCATCTTTTGTGCACTTCTGACCACTGAAGCAGCAAAAATAATTCAACAATAATTCTGTGAAGACTTTACTTCCACCGCAGGTGCGTAAAAAGGCTCTTTAGCGCACAGCTCCTGTAGAATTACTGGATTGTTCGACTTATTTCTGTGGCATTGTAAATAGCCTTCCTAAATATCCATTATATGATCATTTTGGCGTTTTTTTTTTCCCCGTCCAGGATTAGTCTGTTACCTGGGAGAATAACATCGGCCCGGGCTGAAATAACACCCTCACACCGACATAATAGACTACAGGACACGAACCGTGTTCCCTCCTCCTCCTCCTCATCGGGCTCCCCCTTAAAATTCTCCCGTCCATTTTCCTCATCGGGATAAATGGTGAAACTTGTAGCAATAATACCCCCTTCTTTCACACAAACGCCTCCCCGCTGCCATCACCTCGAGCCCGGCTGCCCCCGAAGCCTCGCGGCTGGGGATCTCGGAGAGCTTTTCTCCACGAACAAAAAAAGCCTCCTGAAGGGGAACAAAAGTGACCACATTTTTCCTCCGTGTCCCCTTCTCTGCGCAGAATAACCCGCTGCCTGTCGCTCAAATGGGAATATTAGGACGTCAATCTCACGGCCCCTGTGCGCTTTTGTCTTTGCTGAGTGCCCGGCTCTGCCTACCACACACCTTTTGTCCGACAATCCAATAAGAGCCATTATTCCCGCTCCACAGCCCGGCTGCGACTCGCTCTTCGGGGTATTTTAGGTGCTTAATCGCGTCCTTTAAAGGACCTCAAATGGAGAATAACTTCCTCCTTTCACGTCGCCTGGCACAGGGACAAAGAGTTCCTGTGGCCTGGCCTCCTCCAGCAGCTTTCCTCCCAATATGATTATGAGCAAAATTTGCCACCATGCATCTGATTCAGTGTGACTCACAGTGATCCCACAGCGAAGTTCAAATATATACATGTGTAGGATGGATTTGCGGTATTTAGAGGACCGTCCAGCTGCAGATCTGTGACTGTGCTAAATTTTGGAATTCAAATAATCTTTTTTTCTTTCCCCCAACATCACGCTGAAAGTTTGCCAAACCACAGTTTTGTCCGAATACAGACTCAAAACGCACCTTCTTTAATCTCTTGGGTTTATTTGAATAGATGTGAAATAGACTAAAACAATTCTCTGTTGAACCAAAAACACGTTAAAGCAATTCAGTCTGTCCATAGCCTAAAAATATACCACGTTAAAAACATTTAAAAATCCGATCGTCCTGTTTGAGTTCAGATCAGAAGAAATGCGCGAACCGGTTCCAATGTGTGCTTCAGGCCCGCCGGTGCCAAACTAGAGCACCAGCAAATACTGGACCAGAAAAAAGTCACCCGAGCTGTGGCTGTGTGGACGCACTCGTTTAGTTTGTAATTGTTGGAGTCGCCGGACCGGTGAGTCCAAACGCACATTCATGATACAACCAATACTGTTTTCATTTGACCAAGTTAATACACACGACTAAAAAGGTTGTGGGTAGATCAAAAAATGAAGGAGCTCCATGATGAAGGACACTAGTTTTGTTCTGCTGAGGCTACCAGGCCCGGATGCCCTGCAGGGAGCCCTGACAGGACGCGACCGCTGTCCCTTGATGTGTTTGGGCCTGTGGGGAGCCGCCGAGGCCGCTCACGTTTCCCAAGTTCATGTTCATGAAGGCGTTCGGGGTGCTGGACGGAGGAAGGGCGGGGATGCTGGTGTACGTGCAGCTGTAGTTGGTGTTGTAAGCGGGGCTGTTGTATGTGTAGGTCGGATATCCGTTATAACTGTACGGGTTGGATCCGTACGGAGCAGCGGCGGCGTAGCTTTGCGCACCGCCCAAACACGGCTTCCCATCCCGAACCAGCACCGGCACGGCGACGCGCCGCGGCGGCGGCGGATGGTGCTGCCCCGCCGCTTCCAGAGACTTGTCCTGCCGCTGCCTTTTGCACTTGTAGCGGCGGTTCTGAAACCAGATCTTCACCTGGTTCGAAGTGAGTTTGAGGGTGGTCGCCAGGTGCTCTCGCTCCGGGGCGGACAGGTAGCGCTGCTGCTTGAAGCGCCGCTCCAGCTCGAAGACCTGCGCCTGGGAGAAGAGCACCCTGGGTCTCCGCCGGCTTCTCTGCTTCTGCACCGGCCTCTCTGAGTCGCCCTGCCCGCCCTCTGTTGCCTCCTCCCTGGATAACAGCCCGCAGTTCTCTGGGCAGGTTGGGAGAGTTACATAGGAAGTGTTAATATCTCTAACCACCATGATTCCTACCATCGTGCGTAAAAGGAATATTGTGCCAATTATTTCAGTCCACAGTTCTGAACAAAAGCAAAGCTAAAGTTTAATCAGTGCTGTCAGATCCAAGAAAATCTGCCGAGACAAGCGTGAGACCTTTCTACTGTCCTCTTTCAAATTCCAGTGAAGTTACAAAAGCTTTTGTCCCACAAATATAAACTCAAAAGTAAAACATCGACATGAGGGCTCGAACAAAATAAAATAAAACGAGAGGAGGAAATAAAATATTTTCTACTCTAAATACAGACTTGACCAAATATAGTTTGGGGCAAATCGTTTTATTTTGGGACTCCCTGAACTTATGAGAGCACAAACAGCTCCGAACCTAATTCCTTCAGCAGTTGATCTCTAATGAGTGATCATGAGGAGCCCAGGTCGCTGCGTCTGGCTGTGACTGTGTTTATTAGCGCTACTTCTCGGTGTCATTTCTTTTACAAGCCTCTTTAAACTAATTGTCGGTTTATGGTCCACACATCATAACAGACTCGCTGCCGAACCACTAGAAAGTGTTTGACATCTCCAGACTTTACTGGATTCGTCTCAGGCCTCCGGTCCTGACTTCCACCATTTGATAGCTCTTTATGGGGATAACGTGTGGCGGCTGGAGGACGGGCCTCCCCGGACACAACCCGCTCTGCACGGATTGGGAGGAATCCTGGGGAGTTATTTGATCAAACCAGAAATGATTTGGCATTTTTGCACAACTTGTATTTTGGATTTTCGTGGGGTTGCATCTTTGAGGTCACATAAATATATTATTCAAATGTTCTGGTGAATGAGGAGCAGCAGGGTGTTTTTTTTGTTAGAAAATGACACAAAGCACATTTTCTTGTTCCAGTTGCCTCACATCGCCTGGAGGCTTTACTCATGGCCTGTTAAATTGCTATTAAACCACTACCGCTGATTAGACTTGTCTTGTTAAATTACAAAACTAGAAAGAAAAAAAACACTTCTGCAATTTTGCTCGGCAGCA